GCCAGCTAGATAGGAGACGGCGCTCACGGCCCGCCGCTAGATAACGACGGGCTCTCAACTATGGTCGGCCAACGCCAAGGGGGCTGCCACTGTCACTTCCCTCGAGACTGTAGGCTCTTTCGGAGAGCCAAACGGAAGGCAAGATGCGGGTCACTCCCAAGGCAGCCGGCCTCGAATTCAGGAAGGAATCGAGGTCGAAGTCCGGAACAGGAGACCAACATGGCCAGGTTCGTCAAGCCTTCCTTCGTAAGTCACGCCGTAGAGCTGCAGGGCAAACAAAGCATGCCTCTTTCAGCCCGGTTTGCCTTTATCAGCTGACTAGGTCGAATAGTCCTGGACCAACGAGCAAAGATCTGAAGGGTTATTCGCCCCGACCATGAAGGATCGAGGTTCCACTTGGAGCCGTCGTTTGCACTTCAGCCAAGCCCTCCGAGGCATGCCCCCCCGTAGACCAGTTGCCAACTGAGCGGTTCGTTGGCGTTGGTTTCTCGGTCAAGCTGTGGTAGTGGCGATCCGTCGTCCACCATTGTAGACGAGCCTACGTGCAACGGGACAATTCAGAAAGAGTGGGCATTCCATCGAGGTGTAAAACGTCAAAGAGACAGAGCTGATCAAGTAGTCATGTTGCCAACGCATGAAGCTCAGGGGCCAGCTGGTTGCTGGCTCCCATGTCTCAGCCTCCCGCGAGGAGCCTTGAAACGTTGTGGCAGGAAAAGAAGGATTCCTGCCCGAAGTGTACTCTTGGGTCATTAGTTGCGGTTATGGCTTCCATCCAGCGCGCCAATCCCGTGTCGCTAAATATACGCCCTTTGCGGATGAGGGTGTGGGCGGAGAGTGTGTCCTTGCGCCTTGTCTTTGCGGACGCGTAGGAAGGACGATATCAGATTCGTATGATAAAAAATAGAGTACCTAGAGGGAAACGCTGACCCTCACTCCTTCCAACAGCTGCTGTGATGGGTGTGGAAGAGTGTGAAGGTTTGTGGCAGCTCGCACCTCGGGCTCATCACGTTACTTCACTAGACCCAACTAGACAGATTGTGCATCCCTGCGGTCTCATCGACCGGGCCAATGGAAGTGCCACAACCCCAGTTCACCTGGACTGATACCCTGGTTGCGGGATCTCTGGCGGTTACGATTGGAGAAGGGACAGGGGGTTGCGGGCTGGGTCCAGTGTGTGTGTGTGTTGGAAAAGCGAAAAAGATTCTCGATGATGACATTGTTGCTCGGGCTCACTGCTGCTTCTGCAGACCTAGACGAGCGACTCGCTCCTAGACCAGGCAGTCCGATATGGTGAACTTGGTCGTACGTTGGGAATGCTCAGCGCCCGAGGCCCAGATGTTGATTTGTTCCTCGGAGTCAGCGAGACGATCCTAGCTCCATCGCCGCAAGTACCGAGTACATGGAAACAGATGGGGATTTGTGGTAGGTAGCACCTGTGCCACGGAAAACCCTGAGATCTGCGAGCCCCAAGACGGGGGGAAAGCCACAGAGAGCAACGGTGCTGTTGGCAATGAGCCACTCGTGGCCCACTTTTCGGCGGACCTGGATGCCACGTCACCAGCCTCACAATCCAGTGAGTGCATGGGCCGCGGGTGAGGCGTGTGGCGGAGTGCAGCTTTTTGCCTGTTTGTGCGGCCCTGTGGCTTCCCGGTTGCCTCTTTACCGTGCCTTCGAGCGCCACCCCAAGGACGCTGTAGCGAGTTGTCTCTGCATCTCTGGCAGGGGGCCGCTTGTCTCGCTTCGGCCGCCAGCTTGACCTCGACCTCCATCTTGGGGCATGCCGTGGCAAGCCGGTCGAGTCCAATTTAGACGCGGCCAGCGCATAATAGTCGCCACAGTCGAGCTGCAGGTTTCAGCTGCTCCCGCCGAGTCGCCATTTGCGCTTTTCATCGCAGTGACGTTGACCGACGTACGTTTGCCTGGAGATCAAGGACCTGTGAGTTGGATTACATCGCCCACTTTGCCGGAAGGAGACCCTGTCACGGCCGGTACGTCTGGCCGATTGCGTTGCCCAGATATCATACCAGTCTGGTATGGATTCGTGGGTCGATCTAGGCCACGAAAGAGCAGGCCATGTTGCTATTCTCGTCCTGCCCTGCATGCCACAACTCATGCTAGACATCGACGGCCAAGTACCCCGGCTGAGCTGACGGATGGACGGCCTTTGCGGAGGCTGTTAGGCTTGTCGAATATCACTTTGTGCCTTTCTTTTTGACCGACCGCCGTGCTCATCGACCCTATCAAAAGTATCCCACGGCTTGCTAAGTGCGCGGCGTGTGTTTTGTTTCTTTCTGTTTACGGAACAAGCGCTCCCCGAGACACCAGGCAACCGCTAGGGGGGGGGCGTCGGAACCAGACGAAATCACCAGACGAGAGGTCGGCTCTAACTAAGGGGCACAGCACTGATTCACTTTCTCTTCGATGCAACAGTCCTGAAAGAGAATTGTCATCGTTAAGCGAAGTGGACGATTGGAGACGAGGTGGTTCCAAGAGATGCGGGTAAGGAGAGACATGCATGAGGGGAAATGGGTGCTCGGAGACGAATGTCAGATGGCAGGAAAATGTCTCGGATGTGCCAATTGATTGGACATAATTCCAGGTAGGCCAACCAATCAAAATCGAAGAATGGAGCCGTGCCCCTTCCTGCCGAAAAGTCCATTTCTGGCCAGCACCAATGGGAGTGGTAATATAGTGTCGAACCCTGGCCGGATCGATGATTTTCGCTTACCTGTGGTGGTTGGATGTTTTACGGCGTCAGGGGGATAATAGCTCTGGGCGGAACTGTATTAACAAGAGACAGACAGCCTCAGACTTCAGTTCCGTTTACACAAACCAGGGGGTCGGTAGCGTTGCACGCCGTGCGAATAGAAGCTTTCCAGATGTCTTCCTTCTCCGGGTTGATGCCCCGAGTACAGACAGCCCATCCCGACGCATCCAGTGAGGAAGCAGGCTGTGAGGCGAGCTATTGACAATGGTCTCAACCAGATGGTATCAGCCATGGTGGTAAGCCTGCAGAGATAGATGGCCATTTGTGAGCGTATAGTTGTTTGCCCAGCCGGAAAATTCATGTTGGTATGGTGGGCTGAGCCTTCAGAAGTGTGCCAACCATTCCCCGAGTAGGTCGAGGGTCCGGCCTACTTTGGTCAATCCCATATCCGAATGCGAGTAGTCGAGACCCGCGCATAATACCTGTTGGTGGCGCTTGTTGGCTGTTGGTTTGACGACGCGTCAATGAGGCTTTTCGCTGCAGTCATCTATCATGGCCAAGTTTGGCAGCCAGTAGCCACCTGCTGCTGCTGCTGCTGCTGCTGCTGCCTCGTGGTGGGGTTCTATGCCGATCCTCCTACGAGTCTCTCGATCGGGTACCCTCGGGGCTTGAGCCCGCCAACTGACACTTTCTTATTGGCTTCTTACGAGACGAGAGCAAGCCCAGAGATTCGAGAGCAAATCAAGTGGCTCCCATAGAGGCCGTCCAGCAGCAAGCATCTTTCGTAGTCAATTGCATAGTAGGCTTGTCGATAACTGATATCATGCAATGCGATGTTCAGCGTCTGTGTCTCGAAGCTTGAGTCCGGCCGAGCCGTCCACACCACTTGAAGGATGGCTCTCCGCAGTCTAGTCAGCCAGGAAGGACGGCCGAGGTGATATGGGCATGTCGCCAAACAAGCGCCGGGCATTGGAGGAATGGTGGGGCGTGTGTGACAAGCCTATCGGTAGCGCGGGCGATCAGCAGGGAAGATGGCATGAGAGTGAGACATACAGAAACCTGTCCTCTCGGATAGGCTAAAGTGAGACATGCAGTGGATCATTGATGGATGACATGTTGACGACAGTCGTCTCGCCTCAGCTGGTGAATCAAGGTGTCTCTGGGTCTAGCCATCTCGCACGGAGGTCGGCGGCTCGACGTTTGGCGGCTGTTAGCGTTGCGGGGAGCGAGAGAGAGTGAGTGACGCAGGGGAAAGGGCGCGGATGGAGCAAGAGAATCTAGCGTGTCGTCGTATATGTGAGGGCTCCCACTCGGCACTTGTCATGTGTGTATTTGATGTGGATATCACATCAGTCGGTAAAGTTTGAAAAGGACAAGGACCTAGGACTTGGGGGGGAGAGAGATATCGGCTTCCGAGGGATGGAATTGGGTCAAGGTTTGGGAACAACCAACCACGAAGGAAGGAACAAGGAAAGAAACCCGTGTGTGGAAAATGGTAGAAACAAAACCGAAAATTACTAAAATAAAAAAAGATAGCAGCCAGCCAGCCGGGGATCGCTGGCCCCACAGTGAAAACGCACGTTCCAATTGAGCCGTGCTGACCCGCAGGTACGTACCCTGTGCCGCTGGCGCTAGAGCCATTCTCAGGCAGGTGCATCTAGCCCCCTCCACTTTCTGGGCCGCCGTCCGTCCGCTCCCTCGCCTTCCTTTTCCTTTCCTGCTCTCCTCCCTCCAAAGTAGATAGTGTACTGCGGGTACGCGTCCCAAGTACCAGCAGCCTGAGGATGATATTGCTGTTGTTATTTCTTTTTGTCGCTCTCGACGGCATCGTTTTTCCGTCGTAAGTTTACTGACTGAGCTCAATACATGCAAGTAAATGGCGGAAAATCCACCGGGTCTCGTTTCCCCATCGACAAACACGTCTAATGTAGTTCAACTCATCCCGTCCGCCGCCACTCATTCGACCGTGACACCCAGCTGTACCCCTGCTACTCTCCATCCATAGCACACCACACGTATTACTTTTTGCCTTCTGACTGCGTCCTTTTCCCACACGACAATACTACGGTACGTAGTTTGACTTCCTTCCCGAACACTCCCCCCTCTCCTTTTACCTAGTGTGTACGTAGCTACTACAGATATACTGCGAACACTACCTATGGTACGGAAACTACACTACCTACACAAGTATCATCTCCAAGGACCCTCCCAGCCGCCAGCAGAGCATTGTGCGTTTGCCTCCCGCCGCCGTCCAGTGTTGCCGACAATCTACACTGGGTACACTATCCTGAGTCCCGTGCTCAACCCAAAAGAGACTACCTACCCGGCCGCGCACGCCGTCGGTGAAGCGTAGTAGCGCAGACGGACTGGCGGTATAGGGCTCAGCCACGCCCGCTGCTTTCGCCTCACACGTGTTGGCTACCATCTCGGGAAAGCGATGATGGCATGCCGCATCGCATCCCCCGTCTCTCCTCTGTCCATCGTCTTTGCCTCTGTCCAAAGCACAACATGGAAATCAACCTGCCGGCAAAAAGTCTGTTCTCCCCCTGTCCACGTTCGTCCCCTCCGTCCCCCCCCCGGAATCTCAAAGTCCCAGACGCGCAGACGGGTCCAAATGCGGACAAGGGCCGGACAAGGGTTCGCAGTCCAATGGCATCGTTGAGCCGCCATCCCAAGGTTCCTTTCCGCTCCTATAGGACACGCCGTGTATGCAGAGTCCAGGGCGAGAAAAGCTGCACGCATGGCGGCGCAGTTGCTGTTGCACGTCTCACGGCCATTGAAGCCGTCTCGACAATTCCGCCCCGCCGCCTACTCTCCGTACCCTGCATATTGCCGACCTACCATCGACTGAGGTGCCTCTTCCAGCGTCTCTTCCTCCATCCATCTTACACTTGAACCCCCCTCCCATGTCCGTGGCCCCCTCTCTGCTGCACCTCTGTTTTGCTTTCTTCTCTCCCACAGCCATGTTCCCCCGTCCCCAATGATGCGTCCGAATCTGCACACTGCCCCTCGTCCGCCTGGGTCGGTTCCCACCACGGCAGCAGTTCGCATTTCGATGCTCGTCCAGCTTGCACCTAGCATTGCCCTTTCCAGACGCCCCTCGCTTCTCTTCTGAGATGAGTCAACATGTTGACTGGCCCAAGCCGCCCTCCGATCTGCTCCCTCCTGCGTGCATTCCTTGACGCCTTGTACCCAATCCCAACCCGCCCGTCCTCGGCGGTTGCAGCAGCTCACCTGACCAGGACTCGTGATCTCTAATTCCTGACCGCTGCATTAGCCATGGCCCCGAGGGAAGAGAGAACTGTTGTCGTAGCCTGCCCGCTTGGGTACGGTACTGTATACATGAGCACTGCGTAGTGAAGAAGCCCCAGAGGCAAGGAGGGGGTGGGGGTGAGGGGGTGAAGTGATGTCCAGACGCCACGCGCAAAGAAATAGCAATCGACATGCACCCTCGTCTGCCGATACAGACAGACAGACAGAGGATACGTAGTGTGTGGCCCTGCAGAAGTACCCTATCTACTAGGTAGCCATACCCCTGCCCGCTGAAGCCGGCCGACATTTGCCTATTCACGCCGTTCCAGTTAACTGGCTCAAGAGCCAGAAGGTGTAAGATACCCAGATGTCCTGTCCGGCCTATATACAATCCCAATGTTGCCTTCTTTAGCCCAACTACCTACCTACATGCCTTCCTTGCCCTTAGCTTCTCTCTTTTCTTCTTTGCCCTCCCTGCCTGCCCTCTCTTTGCCACTCACTATTACGTTAGATCTCGTCCGCATTCATCTCCTCTCCGCACACACTTATCTCACCTACACCTCCCACCTTGCGAGCTAAACCCAACGGCCTCTGCTCTTCCCCAGACTCCAATCTCGTCGTACTTACAACTCTCATCGTCAGCTCTCGACTCAGCCTACCTTGCCATATTCGACGGGCGCCAAGAATTGCTCTTCTTTGTCTAGACACGGATTCGCTCTCTCTCTCTCTCTCCCCTTTCCCCCCACCATCTCAGATCCCCCCCCCCTCTGAACCCCTCCACCACCACTACGACCATCCCAGTCGAATCGGCTCTCCCACGGCAGCCGCGCGACCTCCCACCACACCACCATCTCGCACTTCACCATCACAGCCCGGAAGTCATCCCCCTCTTCCGCGCCAGAATTTGGTGTTGATAAATTTTTTCACTCTAGTCGTTCTGATCCTTCCTGGAGAATCCTCATCTTTCCATCTGCTGTGTCTCACCCAACTGCTTTTCTCATATAACACTATTTACTCTCCTTGGCTGGACCTGTCAACTCATCTTAGCCCCCTCCGGAACCCTTCTTGGGACTGCCACTTTTGTTTCTTCCTCGCCAGTCAGCCTTGCTAGGACCGAGGATCCCGTCCTTTGATTCTGTGACTTGCATCTGACCCTGTTACATCAGCCCGTGTCTTGAGCATTACGGCCCTGGACGAACATCTACTTGCCCAACCCGAGCTGGCCAAGCTGCTAGGTTGTTTTCCGTCGCCACTCGTTTCTGCTTAGAGCATCGCCGCTAACACATGTCTAGACCTACACGCATGATACTCGCAGAGATATGAGACATTAAGGTTGTCGGATTATGGTGGACAGGCCCAGTGTACTTTTCGAACCCGGAACATCATGGCAACCCTACGCATGGGGTCAGGCCTGCCAAGCCGTCCGGATGAGCAGATACGAGCAAGAAGACATGCTGCCGCTTCCGCAGAGCCGAGAGAAGACGCACAAAACATGCCGCGACGGATCCGGAGAGAAGGGGAAAACATTCGCATCGCCATTCAACAGCCGACACAGACCAAGCCGTCGGTTCAGGCACCACGAGTTGCTTCCACCCGCCGCCCATCTATTCCGATGGCTTCTAATCGCCCTCCGTTAACCCACCAGACGCAGTCATGGAGCACCAACAGCACAGCTCCCGGGAGGCCCAGCCATGCCGCAACGGTGTCAGGCTCCTCCTCGTCATCCGGCCTCTCTCAGCCGAGCACCTCCAACCCAAAACGTAACGTGCTACGAAGGAAGCAGTCATCCGTCGCTCAAAAGACCCCAAGTCTGCGCCATGATTCGAACACCGACTCAACTCACACGAGTTCCTCTTCGTCCGCTCCGCGATCTCGGTCCTCGCTGGACCCAGCTGCCGGGTTTCACCTCGACCGAGGCATCACCGAGAGTCCCACCGAGATTCGAATCGCACATGTTGTTGATCTCCCCAAAACCCAGGCACAGACTATCACCATCTATCCCGAACTCGATCGGTACAGAGACTATGGTGGACGGCCCTCCATGTCTTCAGAAGGCTCGGGGGCCGACTTCCTCCACAGGCTGGCTACACACGACCTCCCCCCGCCGACTCCCGTCTTCTCCGGCACCAGCAGTCAACTCAGCGCATTCAGTGCTAGCCCGTCGACCAGGTTCTCCGAGTCAACGAGTCCAGGCCCGTACAGTCGCGACACGACTCCAACGTCCATGTCGTCCCAGTCGCCAGGTCTGGTGGCCCCGATGAGACTGCCTGTGCCGAGAGGGAGGCAGGTGAGTCCTGCTGTAACACGACCGCCGGTCTCCCGAAGAAGAGCTGGAAGCGTGCCGAATGAGACGGAGGCGTTCACCGCCGACCCTCACGGGCTCGCCGCAGTACGCGAATCCTTGACGTCATCCTCGTCCAATTCGACAGTCCGCGAATATGATCGTAAGGATACCAAGAAACCGAAGGGGCTTTCTCCCTTGCCGCCGAGTCCTCCTCCACGCAAGTCCTCTCAAAAGTTTTCCAATAGCAAAGACGATGACGAGTCTCCATCAAAGGCCTCCCGGGAGCCTGTTGCGCCTGTCACGACTTCGTTGATACCAGTTCAGTCGCCCCCACGATTGGCACCAGCCGCATCGCCGAGGCCAACACCACCGACACGACCCAGCAGAGACAATACCCCAGACTTACAGTCTCAGTTGCTTGGCCCATGGCCTGTTATCCACAGCAACCTGTCATCCACATCCTTGCTGGGTGACAGGCGCGGACCAGACCCGCAAATCCTATCGGGATCGACAACTCCCTTGGCCTACCAAGACATGCCTCAACAACCTTCTCGACTACCAGTTGGGAGGGAAGCCACACCAGCCGTACCACAGGCCAACACCTCCGAGACCAAGAAGAAGAAGAAGGACGAAGGACGTGCAACCCGCACCCCCAGCCCCAACACCTCAACGTTTTCTCGATTCCCCTTCTTCGGCCGTCGTTCGAAGACAGTACCGGAGGTTCCCCTGGTCGACAAGAAGGACAAGCCCTCTCGCAAAGGCCCCGCTGCTGGTACTGGACATGAGGGATACGGACGCCTCGGAGGAATCCGGCGGAAGAGTGGTAGTTCGACAACCAACTTGGCCCGGACGAACCTGGGACCTGGATCGTCGCAAGACAGCTTGAACAGTGCTCGGCCCACTGACACTTTCCTCCTAGAACGGATGAATCCGGTTGTGATTTCCGGTGGAGAGGTCGTCGAGAACAGAAACCAGAGCTTAGATCTGTGTCGGTCAGAGAGTAACCAGAGTTTCGGCTATGCCTCGGAAGTGTCGACGACCTCCAGCGCGGGTAGAGGCCTTGCTCCCGAGGCCATCCCTCGAGGCCATCCCCATCCGTCTTTGAGCAGTCGTCGTCCATCGGGCAGCAGCGACTCCGAGGCCGTCCCCATGAAGTCCACCTTGGCCTTTAGGCGATCTGTCCAGCGATTGCGCTCATCCCCCGACCAAAGTCCCCTTAAGCTACCTCAGCCCATCAACACGAGCAGGATCACAGCGCCGTCTATCAACAGCCAAGACACGACTATTCTTTCGGATGACTCGCAATTCGAGATGCACCGCGAAGCCATTCGCGGCAGAATCGCGGCAGCCACCGCCACGACCCCCAAAAAGCTTACCAAGAGAGCTCGCTCACCAAGGAAGTGGAACCTCTTCAGCCGGTCTCAGAGTCAGCCGAACACCAAGAAGAAAGAGAAGGAAGCTGTGCCGGTAACCGCGACTGTCAAGGTCATACAGCACAAGCCCGCGGCTTTCTACACGTTGATGGATGGCTCTGAGCAAGAAGACGCCGCCACGCAAGACGTCGAGGAGATCCTTCGAGAGGCCGAGGTCTTTGATCTTCCCTCCCCACAGCCCGTGTTCAAGGAAAGACGAACTTCCTCCGCCAGCCAGAATCAGAGGAGGGAATCTTTGAGTAGACTCCTCCAGCCGACCAAGTCATCACAAGCTCGCAGAAACTCGGCTACTGGAGCCCCTAAATCAACATCAATCCCGGCAATTCGCTCCATGAAACCGACGCACACGCCGCAGGGCAGCTTATCGAAGCCAGCAGAAGCACGCCCGAGTCGCCTGCCCCAAGTGGGTCGCATTCCCAAGGTCGTCACCTCCCGACCGGAGCATACGTCGTCCAGGAGTTTCTCCCGTCCCTTCAACAGAATCAGCTTGCAGATGCAGCCCCAGGCTGCGGGCTTTAATCCTGACTTTGTTGCCTTCGGCCCAACTCCGTCGGATGTATCCACTCCTGAGCTCTCCAGGGGAGAATCTGCAGCGACCAGCGAGAACACCAACTCAAACCCTCGCTCCTCTCTTGTACCGGAGAAGACTCCTGAGATGATCCAGATTGGCAAGGAATTCCTAACATTCTCTCCTCGGAAGAACTCGGAGTGCACCACGAGCACTGATTCGAGCAGCTGCGGGATGTATACTCTCGCAGATGCCATGGCCTTCGTGCCGGACCCCAATGCTCCGCTGGTCGAAGATGAGATCTGGGACGAGTACAACGATCTCATAGGCGAGGTGCCGCCATCTGCAACCTCATCAAAGGGCGCCCCTTTCCATCTTGAGACATACGGTTCGCGGATATCCAAGAGGTCCCTCAAGCCTCTCGAGTCTCCCACCATTGCGCCTCCATCAAGAGCTCTGGAGAAGGCCATCGAGGTCGACACGAGCGGTCCCACATCCAGCGTATACAGTGCCGACATGACCGAACGGCTCAAGCTTGCATTTGCGCTGAAACCCGAAGACGACTCGACAACCCTTGTGCCCGTCGTCGACATTCCTACAAGTGCCATCGACCGCGAGAGCACAGAATTGGCGCGCAGGGCAACTGCTGCATCGCAGAGGAGCAGCGGCTCATCTCGAAAGTCAAGACGGTCCGATTGCAGCTATCGGTCTTCCGAGGATGAGTCACCTCTCTCTCAGGTCAACCTTCGCGTCGGCTCGATGACCGTCAGCAAATGGTTATCCTTTGGACACGTCCTCTTTAGCCCGGCCCGGGACCAGCTTCTGGATGTCGTCGGCTCTTTAAAGCGTCACTCGATCCTTGTTGTCGACGGTCTTGGGAACGACGACTGGTCTTTCTACGCAGCAGAGACGTACCCGGCGGCCACATTCTTCAACCTGTCACCTCGCGCACCGCTACCGGACGAGCACAAGAACTCGTCGAGCTTCCCACTGAGCCCACCCAACCACCATCAAATCCAGTACCTCTCACACATGGATAAGTTCCCCTTCGGCGCCGAGAGCTTCACCTCCGTGGTGTACCGCTTCCCTGGCGCGGCGCCTGAGTCGCACTATCGCAATATAGTCTCAGAGGCCCGCCGCGTATTGAAGCCTGGCGGGTATCTGGAGCTGTCCATCCTGGATGTAGACCTCAACAGCATGGGAAACCGCGGTCGCCGAACCATCCGCCGCCTCAAGGAGCGAATCCACGAACGGAACCCAGATATCAGCATTGGTTCTACTTCTGACCTCATCCTTCGTCTCCTCGGACGCAAAGGCTTCTCCGACGTCAAAACTTGCCGTGTTGGCGTCCCGGTCGCAAGCATCATCACTCGATCGGACAGCAGCAGCAAGAAGCCGCCTCTGGCAGGCTCTCGGAAGTCCAAGGAAGTCCGCAGCCTCGCCGAGATGATGAACGATGACGGCGAGTCGGCGGACGAGAACATCACCAAGATGGTGGCCAAGGTCGGCCGCTGGTGGTACACCCGCTGCTACGAGAGCTCCGCCGGCACGGTCAATAACAAGAGCATATGGGCCGACGGCGCTTTGCTCTCCGAATGCGAGGCACTGCGGACCAGCTTTAAGCTCATGGTCTGCTATGCGCGTGTCCCTGAGCGGACTCGAACCGCAAGCATTTGATTCTTTGGGAGTTTTCCACCACCTTTGTCTCTTGTCTAATTTCAGCACTATTCCTCCAATGCCCTCGGTTCCTACACCAACGCACATAACCCACCTCAACGCATCTTTGTCATCCGGCATCATTATCAGGGTACCCAAACGAGAGGAGAGAACACCAGCATCAAAGATCTAAGAGGGCGCGAGCCCATCTCCGGCTCCCACCGCCATCAAGGCGAATGTGGTTGAGCTTTATTTATTTTTATTCTTATCCACTTTCTTACAACGAGCAGAGCAGCCGGTACGCACAAGACGGCGTTTGCGGGCCGACATGTACCGACCCCTTGACTGGGTGACTTGGGCACGTCTTGCATTGTTCCCTTTACTGATATATCTCTTTTCACATTTACATGTCGAGCCACCGCTGGCGTCTGATGTATTTCATAGTATTGGATTCAGGAAAGCTCGTGGTCTTGTATCTTGCCGGCTGGCCGTGCCGAGGCAGAGAATATCTCCCCTCTCCCTCCCTCAACCCCCCCCCCCCCCCTTTTTTTTTCTTTTTTTTTCTTTCTTTTCAAACATACTACTACAAAAGCACAACTTTAATATTTTGTTTTCCTTTACCTTATCAGCGATACGACCACGTCGGAATGGGACTTGATTGCATCGGAAAGAAAAGCTGGACTGAACTGAGACAGGAAGAAAGTATATGGTGCGATTTAATGTGATGGCTGGGCCGTTGCGCTTCTCCTTGGATTCGTCTCTCACTTTGTTTCTTTGCGCTCAATCGGAGCGCTAGGTCGGTTATCTGGTTCATGAGAGGAAATTGAGACGTCTGGAAGAAGTGCGGTGGCTTGGGGCCCGGAGACGCAGAGCGGAGGAAGAAGGACGGGGAAGCGAACAAGTACGACACGATGATTATGTGCTGGATGTCTGGACTGTCTGTCCTTTGAAAGCGTTTTGCATGACACGAGATACCCCCAATCTTTTAGTAGCGGAAATGAATAATTTGCTTCTCTGTTGGAATATCAATACTGATGATCGTACGTCACCTAGTCAGTCAACCATGAATGGTTCATGATTCAAGTTCAAAGGGCACAGACTGGATACTCAGCCCTCGGTCAATGTCAGGAGGGGATCACACTTTGTAGTTAGCCGAATGACTTAAGTCATACGAAGGCAGTATGTAACTGCTTGTACGACAACACTAGAGTAGACTTGTTTAGTCACCTAATGAAAGTTGATTCACCCCTAAGTTCGAGAAGTACATGCATGTACGAGAGTCCATTCGACACTTCTCATAAAATACCTGTGTCTTCTTATCGAACGTGAGAACCACCTAAAGTATCTACTCGCCCTAGGTATATATGTAGGTATCCCGACAAATGGAGCATCCGGCAACCACGGGTCAGCAAAAGAGTGACCGCCAGCTGAGATGGAAAGAAGTTGAGATGAATTGGAAGGTGCGCTTCACATTCTCGGTGCATCTATGGAAGGAGGATGCGGCCAGGTGGACTGCATTGCCGTTCGCTGCTTGGGCTATTCTTGTCCGTTTGAATTTCAGGCTGCCACTCAGCTCCCCTAACCTTCTTCGCCCAGTATCGTCACCATCTCCCGTTTTTCCCGGTAACAACACGCATCTCCATTCTTCTACCATCGGCTTCTTTTGATTATCCATCGCAAGCATCGTCTGCCTCGTTTGTATTTTCTGTATTTGCTCCCTCGGGAACAAGCCCCCGCCGCACCCTTCATCACTTAGTCATTCGCAATTAGAACGACAAGTAAGTACCGTTGACATCCGACACCAGCGACGTCGACTGAACAGAGTGTAGCAGACATGGCTACGATTGAACACCTCCCCAATGAGCTGCTCGTGGCCATCGCCAAATCCGTCCAAGATATCCGCGGCCTCGCTTCCATGGCCAAGATGAACCGGCGTTTCAACATCATCGCCACGTCGCCCCTGTATCACGAAGCCGTTCGCCGCGAAAGGAACGATGCCCTGTTTCATTGCGCCGGTGAAGGTCTCCTGGGGGCCTTGGACCTTCTTGAAGCTGCAGGCCAGGACCTCAACGTGAGGGAGATTACTCAACCCGACAGTGAAAGAATAAACGGAGTGATTCAAACCATGTGCGAACGCGGAGAGTTTAACATTGGAAGAGTGTTCCTGGAAGCTGGTAGGACTGACGAGGGCGTGATCCATCGCGCCGTTCTAAAGGGCCAGGCTGAAGTGGTCCGTTGGTTGATTAGCCATGGCGTGCCCGTTGACTCCAGGTTCATGAATCTGTGCGAATGCGACAACGTCAAGGAATCGGGTATTGGGAGCCCCCTGCACTTGGCTCTTTGTCAAGGGCAGGAAGAAGTGGCTCATATTCTTCTGGCCAACGGAGCCAAAATCGATGAACTTGAACCTTTTTCTGGCACGACGACTTGGCAGAGCGCTATACAAGGTCGACATCCAGTCGCAGCCATGGAGTTTGCTCTGTCCCTTGCTTCTACACACTCTGAAATCTTTGCTCGCCACGCAGATGGCCCCAAGGAAGAGAAAGAGCAGATCAATTGTGACGTTGTCCAAAAGAAAGTCCTGGAAAGCAGCAATGGCTTCGGTGTTGACTCCGAGCCCGATGGACACTCTGTTACAGAGGAAGATATACTCGGCTCTGTCACTGCGTTGCTCGACCCGATCGCTTGCATCGAAGCCTACGCTGACAGCAACAAGAGCGATGCCATCTTAGGGCAGAAGAGAAAATCGGAGCGCATGAAGGCCCATGGGAAGCTCGCATCGAAGAAAGCCGGTAGAGAAATTACCGACGAAGAATTCAACCTCATAACGGGGCAACTACTGGAATTTCTCGATGAAATGCAGCGGTCCAAGGCACCCAGAGAGTCACTGAGCTTGGCTATGCAGTCACTCTGTCGCTCGGCGATGAAACGAGATGGGAAGGGGCAGAAATGTCGCCAGGGCAAAGGCTGTTATGCTTGCCATGCATGGGCAAAGAAGGATGACATCAATCTGTGATCTGAACCGTCGCCATGTAATGCAATGCGGCGACTCGTGCTACACATCCTAGCAGCAGTGGATAGCGAGAAGTCATGTCTGTTAGCTATGCATTAAACAGAGTTATTCGATTACCAGTAACTTATTTTCTCTGAGCTTCACGATTCCTTGCAAGCTTGTTTTGACGACAACAGTCCGAAAATCACATAGTTACACAATGGCGCCGAGACTCGGTCCATTGGGCTTTCCGAATCATACACGAAGGTCTCTATGTCGCTTGTACAGCTCCAGCCGGTCCATCAGAGGTCCGTACTCCAGCCAGACACCCCCAAGATGCATCGCCTAACCTTTGCGCAGAACACGATGTGATCATCCTCCGCCAGCGAGGCGCCAAAGAACCCAAGATCCACCTATCGCCCCCTCTACGACGCGACACACCGATAAAGCTTGCCTACGGTGCAAGCGTCAATGCGTCCGATATCATTGGCAAGACCTTCTCCGATACGATCATTGACAGCGTCGGCCGGGATGTGCAATTCCTCCGGGCATCGCTGGCCCAGTATATCGCCAACTCCCCGCGCGTAGCGACACCGGTATGAGCGAAAAGCCTTTCCCCCAAGGGCCCAAGTGCCACATTTCACATGGCTGAACGCGCGGGAAATGGACAGATCTACCCCCAGGACGCCAATCTGATCGTCTCTTTCCTCGACCTGAACCTGCCGGTTCCCGGCGAGGACCTGGAATTCGACGCCGGCCCGCCGGTGGAGATCTTCGAGGCCGGCACGGGCATGGGCGCGCTGACACTCTGTCTCGCGCGAGCGATCCACGGCGCGAACCCACCCGTGCCGCTCCAGCTCCGAGATGCGCTGTGCACGGCACCGTACGAGCGGAACAACCTGCCTCGGAAGGTCGCGACCGATGACGACAACGAGGCACCGGGGTACGACACCTCGCCGCACGCGCTCGACTTCTCCGAGCAACCGGAGCTGGCGGCGCTGCACGCCGGGCACGCCGCCAGCCGCCGCGCGATCCTGCACACGCTGGACGTCAACCCGACCTCGAGCCGCATGGCGCACAGCCTCGTCAGGCACTTCCGGAGGGGCATGTATCTGCCCGACGTCGACTTCCACGTGCGCACGATCCGTTCGTACCTCTCGTCCCGGCTGTCGCAGAACGGGGGACGGCCCTTCCTCGCCCACGTGATCCTGGACCTGCCGGAGTCGCAGGCACACGCCGACGTCGCCGTCGAGGCCCTCCAGCCCGGCGGCAAGCTCGTCGTCTTCTACCCGTCCATCACGCAGATCCTCGAGTTTGTCGTCTGGGCCAAGGACGCGGACCAGCCGCTGGCGCTGGACCGCGTCGTGGAGCTGCAGACGTCGACGTCGGGCGGCGACGGCGGGTTCCGGGACGGCACCGGGGGCCGCAACTGGGAGGTCAAAGTCGTGAACCTCCGCAAGGCGATCAGGGAGGGGCAGACGGGTGCCGCGGCGAGGGGGCACGTCTGCCGGCCCAAGGTCGGGACGCTGGTCGTCGGGGGCGGCTTCGTCGCGGTGTTCAGCAGGCTGCGGCGACAAGCGGCGTCCGCTGCGGAGGACAGCAGCGGGGCTGCGGCGGCAGAGCCCGCGTCTGAGACGGCGGTGTCTTGTGACGAGGACGAGGACGTTTCGGTGCGTCTATGATGGCGCTCTCTTGATCGGTTCTAGCAACAACGAGACAGAGGCTCACGCCCATGCCGACAGAGGGTTCCTGACTAGTTATGGCTCTCGCGTAACCTGCGCCGCCGCCTAGACTTGTACTTGATACGTGTATAATATTGTACATTCTCATGACATAGAATAGACATAGAGAATCCCATGCTGGGACGAAGTCGACTTCCAAAAGAAAGCACAACTCAGATGTAAATATACAACTAGACAGCGGGATCAAGGGGAGGCGGATTCCGATGGTATTTGAGTCTATGGACGGATGGATCAAGAACAAAAAAAAAAGCCACAACATCGGGTATTCGCTGGTTGTCGCTCATCCAACTACTGACACGTCCCTCGCTGCTATCGTCTAGATGGGACGTAGATAATCTTTTGCGGCAATGACCTAGATATTGTACTGCTTTCATTCACGCCTGTCCCACAACGCATCTATAGCAACCTAGCGTGCATTACATATCTAGTTGGGCAATAAATATCAGGCAATATCAGTACATGCAGGATGGATTGACTTTCTAGTCACACGATGAAAAAAATAAAGATAAAATTTAAAACTGATTCAACCATCTACACTGATATCCTGACTAAAGCTGAGTCAAAACATGGGTGAATAAATCGAGTTCACATGAAGTCTGGTTTTACAGATTATCTTGTTGAAAACAATCGTCAAGTAAAGCTCGGCGGTGCGGACCTTTAGCACTGAATGCCAGTTGGAGGTTCACAGTGTATACACAGTAGACCTGGAACAGACAGCACCGTGCCCTCCACTCACCTCATCAACTCATCGAGGCGTTTACATTGTCAACCTCACTCGATCAACGTCCCAGACCATCTCGGGATCAGCCAATCTAATATTCTCACACAACATTCCAAGATGTCGTCAGAAAGCGCCGTAGCGCAGCTCTCCCTCCCGCTGCCCCGCTCCTTGGACACGCGCATCCACATCCATCTCACCACCAAGGCCAAGGCGGTCACCCTCTTCCTCACCTCAGTGACGCAAGACGAGCAGTCGGGGCCCGCGGCGCTGGGATCCTTCGTATACGCCCTGCCAAACGTACTTTTTCGCACCAAACCCGCCCCCCAACCATTCTCCGGAAGAGAACGTCTATGCTGACCAGACGATCAGAGACTGGAGCCCGCGCAGCCGATCTCGACGGCCATCTACTCGGTAGAGTCGACGCTCGAGTTCACGACGAGGATGGCCAAGCTGCTTGCCAAGCGTACGGGCATGCCCGTCTACGTAGGCTGCTCCATCAACCTGGGCGGCTCGGCCATGGGCCTCTCCGTCGAAGAGGAGATGGAGGCGTTCCGGGCCATCGTCGACGTCGTCACGGGGAAGCTCAAGAGCGGCCAGGCCGTCATCAACGGTGTCTCCTGAAGGATTCGTGGCTCGGCTGAGGGGCATGGAGGTGGGAGGGGAAGGGGAGCAGGGTGTCTATGGTGATGTGAAATACGTCTACATGAGACCTGCGCCCATCTTTCGCAGCCTCCCGTCGCACTCTGGAGGGTCTCGAGAGAGGACGGCCCAGGAAAAGATGAGGGTCGCTGCGTGCGGTTTCCGAAGCCGCCGGGCGACGGTTACACTTGGGAGGGTCTGCAGGGCGTGCACGGCGCGTCGGGCATGTGCGTGCGAGGACGCATCACGCGGCGAACCTACCGGGCAATTTGAAGTGGACAAATAGCGTCGGGGCGGGCGGGCGTGCGTGTGCTCACGACAACTGCCCAGGTCCGAGGAGGCGAGAGGCATGATGTACGAGGCGACGTGGGATATAGCACAGCGGGTATCAACGAAACAACCAACCAACCAACCAATCCATCCAACGTCATATGTGGGCGACGACATCGTCACCCCCCCCCAGGGGATGCAGGCTGCAGTTGAGGTCGCTATGAAATGACAGGATATGCACAAACATTGCAAGTGATCCAAACGGGACGGCCGGCAAGCGGCGCCAGCAGCATCGCGTCCGGCACCCAGGAAGGTTTTTCTCATCTGATGCCACCACATCTTGTGCCGGACGTTTTGACGGCCTTCTAGAACGCCTGGATTCGCTGGCCTTGTCGCGCTGTGGCGGGTAGAAGCTGGCTTGGGCTAGTCCAAGCATCTTTTCAAAAAGGTAGTCTTGGTTATCCGTGTCCCCTAGCCAAATGATGTCCTTTGATCTTGTTTCGTGACAAGGCGTTCGGCCCATAATTGCGGGAGAAGGCCTTTTTGGGGGGGTGGAACTGTCGGTAGGCAGACGCTCTGACGGACTCCCAAGCACGCATTTTAATTGACCTATGAGAGGTTCGTCGTGATAAAAAGCTTCTCAGTTGAAAAAATAATTGAAAGAAAGAGGGGGGCGGGCGGAAGTATGTATTCTCAACAGTCCGGAAGTCAGATCTTGCAACTTTGAACAAGCAAGGGTTGTTAAGTTGAATTTGGATAGGGAGGACAGCGGACGGGAAACCCTCACGGGTCCAGGTATATGCAAATTTCGAGTTTGATCCTTACTCGTCGGGGTTTGAGGATTTGAAGCCGAGGAACATGGCCTTTTTGGGAGATGGAATAGTAGTCATTGAGATGGTGATTCCTTGTGGTACCTGGGGAAAACGTAAAGATGCAGAATTGTACATGGAAGTTTTTTTTTTTTTTTTTTTTTTTTCCAACGTCAAAAAAAAGTAGTTTAAATTGTATCAAAGCGGGGGTGGATTACACGTGTCTCGGGGTTTTTTTTCTCTTGCTTTTTTTTTCTTCTCTTTTTAGATCTGCCTCTCAGGATGTGCGTCTCTTTCTTTTTCTTTTCTTCAAACGCCGTCTGGGTTTATACTTTTAGACAATGGCAGATAGCAACCGGCAAACTGTCTCAATGTCATTGTGAGCGAGGAGGTCCGGGGTCTGGGAAATTTCCGTCGGATTCCAGGGCAAGCGAGCAAGCAAGCGACCCACGTGCTGTCTGAGATACACATAGAAGTAAACCCCTGGCCGTCCCGGCAAAGACGACTGTTTATCGATATGGCAGGCGAGACAGGAGGAGAGTAAGGAGCACGGACAAGGGCTTGGATGGAAGGGAAGGAACTACACTAATCGGTGGGGTAAATCTTTTCCTTTCTTTCTTTTCCTGTCAATGTGGTTGGTACGCAGTCGAGGGACAAGGAAGGTGTGGCAAGGATGGGCAACAGCGCAGCGCCAGGTGCAGCAGGCAGGTACAAGCCAACCAATGTTATCAAGAGTGGAAGGACTGACTGACTGAGTAACTGACACAAGACAAGGCAGGCAGGTACACTACGTGACTACTTGCAGGCAGGCAGGCAGGTAGGTACCGGAAGAAAGACAAGACCACCGGCAGGTTTTTCCTACGCACCGTGGTCCCCCCCACTCCCCCCTCTCTTCTGTTGCTCTGTCTTTATTGAGCTCGCGCTCTCTTGCCCATCCTCTGTTAGGGGAATTAATATTTTTATTTTATTTTATTTCTTTCCCTCTCTTGCCCTTCCCAGTCTCTTCTCAACCCTCAACGACATCGTATTTCTGCCGTTTCCATAGCTCTTCTATTCAGTTCCTGTTGCTAGTGCCTCCCCGGTCCGACCCCGGCTGGACATCCACTCTGGCCGACCTGCACACCCAGAACTGTATTGGCCTGTGAACGCGCACACACAAGCAGGACAAGACAACAAAGTTCTGATTGGAGAGACAGGGGCAAATTGTCAGGTATACAGGTTTCCATTACACAGCACAGCGCATTAGACTTCGTGTATATCCCGCTACGACTGTTGAGAGAGAGAGAGGGAGAGTGAGGAGGAGAGACAGAGAGAGAGAGAGAGAGAAAGAGAGAGAAGGAGGAAGGGAGGACGGGAAGGACTGTAGGGACTGGAGGAGGACGGCACGGCAACGCCAAAATTAGCATTTGCTTTCCACAGACATGTACATTTGCATCTGCGTCTGATCCCGTCCCTTCAGCTCGACTACCTCGCCGCCGCCATAGATCAGACTGGTCAGACAGACGGACCAGACCTCAACACACCTCAGGGCTGGTTGTTGGTAGAGCCGAGGTACACGTCCAGATACATGGCGTTGCGTCAGGGTAAGTAACTGTGTAGCGGTTGCAGCACAGCGAGCACCGCACCGCATCGCACCGTACAGTCGCTGCTGTGACTTGGCCTTGCGGGATCCAGATGCGCTACCGAGACCTAAACTACGACGTGCAACCGACCACCTCGCTCCCCCGATACCCCATCAGAGGTACCTCCCTGTACGCTGACCTACCTACCTAGGTAGGTACTTGTGCTCCGCCGCACCATAGTTATCGCGAAAAAAAAGCTGACAGGGTGACCCCACCATTTCGCTAGTCGTCCCGCCCGTCGCCAATGTCAACGCCCACTGCCCTCGCTCGCTACCTGCCCGCCCGCCTACTGAGTCTTGGGCCAACATCCTCACAAAGACCGCCCCTCTCTACACTACCTATTCTTACCTTACCTCCTCCGCCGTATTCGACATCAACCCCCCCAAACCGACCGAACCTCACTCCTCCCCCCCCCTCCCCCCCCCCTCGTGTTGCCGGGCCTCCCTCCGAATCCTAACCTCTTGAATCAGTCTTTTGACTTCCTCTCCTTCAACCTCCGAATAGGCGCCAGTCATGGCCTGGCAGCCGGCCCAGGAGTCTCTGAGCCAGCTGGCTACCTGCCTCAAGGACTCGCTCAGCGGCTTCGACAAGAATGCGCAGAAGCAGGCAGAGCTTGTGAGCCGCCTCCGAACCTCCCGTCTTGCCTCCCACCATGTCTGCTAACCTGACATCGATGCGCAGATGCTCACCCAGGCCAAGTCCTCTCCCGACATCAACAACTACCTCGCCTACCTCTTCTCCAGCCCCGAGCCGCCCCAGGGTGTGCAATGCTCCCCTCAAGACTACCACCTCGTGCGCTCCGCCGCCGCCATCATGCTCAAAAATAACGTGCGCACCGGCTACAAGCAAATTCCCGAGTCTAGCTTGTCCCTCGTCAAGATGGCCGTCCCCATGGGCATCCAGGACAAGAACTCCCAGATCCGCAACTACGCCGGCAACATTGCGACCGAGATCATTAGGAGAGGCGGCATCCTGAGCTGGCCCGAACTGCTGCCCCAGCTGCTCAGCCTCATCTCCAACGAGAACGGCCAGGTCTCCAGCGAGGGCCAGGAGGGCGCCATGTCCGCCATGGCCAAGATCTGCGAGGACAACGTCAAGGTTCTGGAGCGCGAGCACAACGGCTCGCGCCCCCTCAACTTCCTGCTCCCCAAGTTCATCGAGGCCACCAAGAGCGACCTGCCCAAGGTCCGCGCAAAGGCCCTGGCCGCCATCAATGTCTTCACCCCGCGCAAGTCCCAGGCCATGCTCAACAACATCGACAGCCTGCTGAACCACCTCTTCATCCTCGCCGGTGATCAGAACCCTGACGTGCGCCGCCAGGTGTGTCACGCCTTTGTCCAGCTCGTCGAGACCCGCCCCGATAAGCTGCAGCCGCACATTGCTGGTCTGGTTGACTACATCATCACCCAGCAGAAGAGCGACGACGAGGACCTGGCCTGCGAGGCGGCCGAGTTCTGGCTGGCCGTTGGCGAGCACGATGACCTGTGGCGCGCTCTGACGCCGTACCTCGACAAGATTATCCCCGTTTTGCTCGAGTGCATGGTGTACAGCGGAGAGGATATCGCCCTGCTCGGCGGTGCATCAGACGACGAGGAGGAGGATGATCGCGAGGAGGACATCAAGCCGCAGTTTGCCAAGAAGTCGGCGGCCAGGGGCAAGGGCGGCGAGGCCTCGGCCGACCCTGCGCAGAACGGAAACGCCTATGAGAAGCTGGCGAGCATGGACGACGACCTGGAGGAGGGCGAGATCGACGACATTGACGACGGCGACGAGAACCCCGACGAGCGCTGGACCATTCGCAAGTGTTCCGCCGCCGCCCTCGACGTCTTTGCGAGAGACTTCTCCGACCCTGTTTTCACCGCCATTCTGCCGTACCTGACGAGCAACCTCAAGCACGAGGAGTGGCAGTACAGGGAGGCCGCCGTCCTTGCCCTGGGAGCCGTCGCTGAGGGTACCATCAATGCCGTCACCCCCCACCTCCCGGAGCTCGTCCCCTACCTCCTCTCCCTTCTTGAGGACAACGAGCCCATCGTCAGGCAAATCACCTGCTGGACGCTCGGCCGCTACTCGCAGTGGGCCGCCAGCCTCCAGGACCCCAACCAGAAGGCCACCTACTTTGAGCCGATGATGGACGGCATCCTGCGCAAGATGCTCGACAAAAACAAAAAGGTCCAGGAGGCTGCCGCGTCTGCCTTCGCCAACCTGGAAGAAAAGTCAGGCAAGGTCCTCGAGCCCTACTGCATACCGATCCTGCAGCAGTTTGTCCAGTGCTTCGCTCGGTACAAGGACAGGAACATGTACATTCTCTACGACTGTGTGCAGACCCTGGCCGAGAACATCGGACCTGTCATCGCGCAGCCCAACGCTATGAGCCTTCTGATGCCTGCGCTGATTGACCGCTACCAGAAGGTCAACGACGACTCGCGCGAGCTGTTTCCCCTGCTGGAGTGCCTGTCTTACGTGGCCATGGCACTTGGATCTTCCTTCACGCCGTACGCACAGCCTATCTTCACACGATGCGTCCACATCATCCACACCAACCTCGAGCAGAGCCTGCAGGCCACCAACAACCCTACGCTGGACTCCCCTGACAAGGACTTTCTCGTTACGAGTCTCGACCTGCTGAGTGCCATCATCCAGTCTCTGGAAGAGGACAAGAAGCAGGAGCTGGTCAAGGGCTCTGAGGGAACTTTCTTCGAGCTTCTTGGCTTCTGCCTGGAAGACCCCCAGGACGACGTGCGTCAATCGGCGTACGCTCTGTTGGGAGACTGCGCTAGATACGTCTTCCCCCAGCTTGAGAAACACCTGCCTTCGGTCTTCCCCATCTTGCTGAAGCAGCTGGACCTGGACAACATACTCGATGAGGAGATTGACAGCGGTTTCAGCGTCGTCAACAACGCATGCTGGTCTGCTGGTGAGATCGTCATGGTGAACAGCAAGACCATTACTCCTTTTGTGCCCGAGCTTCTCCAGCGATTCGTCGAGATCATCTCGAACCCGGGCGTTCAGGCGGCTGTTAGCGAGAACGCGGCCATTGCCCTCGGCCGTCTTGGTCTCCACCACTCCGAGGTCCTCGCCCCTCTTCTGCCGACCTTTGCCGAGGATTTCCTGTCGGCCATGGAGCACGTCG